GAAGTGAATGAATAAGAAGAATGAATCACAACGGCCATCTTCGTTAATCATAGACCCTCTATATTACTTAAACACCAAAAGTACTGTAGCAGTTGCTGAAAACAGAGAAATCATAAAAACAGTTTTTTCACTCTCAGTTTTCAGATAATGATAACTGTTTCATTTTATCCAAAACAATTTTTTTATAGACCAGAAGATTCTTTTCAATTCAGAGGCCACTATGGTAAGTGATATATTTACTTTATTTATGCCTACTTTTAGTATTTATAGGTCCACCCTACATAATTATAAAAATATTTTAAAAAACCCTAACAGATCTCTTCTTTTTTATTTGAGTGTTGCTATTTCCACCCCCTTATTCTATTTCCTCACTCACCTTATCTTCTCACCCACCATATAAAACTGAAAACACACAATCCTATCTTTTCACCCACCATTATTCCTAAAATACCATTTAATTATTAAAGTAAAATAATATTTTTTATAATTTAAAAAAAAAAACAAAGACAAAAACTCTCTCTCCTCTTCCTCCTCCTCTACGGAAAACCCAACAGTCAACAGCCACTTTTCCTTCTCCCACCTGCAGCCACCCCCACTTCCCATCCCAACACCGATTCCTCCCCCGCCGGCGAGAACCTTACAGATTTCTACACCTTCAACCCCACCCATGTTCTATATTTTTAATTAATTTTATTGTTTTACAATAACTCCTTTTGCCAAAAAAAAAAAAAATGAAGATGATAATTATGTCTTCATTTTTTTTTGGCAGAAACCCAAGGGAGGATGGGGATCTAGAATCGATACATAGAGATTGTGGAGGGGGTGGGTGTAGTGAGAAATTGCAGGGACGTTGGGTGGGTATGAGGGCAGGGACGATGTTGAAATTGTGGAATTTCATTTGTTGACTTTGCCAAAGTAAAGGAGTCAGCTTGCTTAAACAATGGACAAGTGCTTCATTGCCGCCCCAAAACAAACTCTAATCTATTCAAAATGCAACTAAATTGTGAAATGAAAGAACCCTTTTTATCTGGACTTGTTGTTTTTAGTGTTGCGGTAGCAGTGGCTTCTAGCACCGAGGATGAAAGAACTCTAAGGAAGAAGCCAACAAGTCGTGAAGGAGGAAGAGAGGAGAGAGAGTTTTTGTTTTAAAAAAATTTATTTTATTATAATTTTATTTATTTGAAATGCTTTAAAAAAAAAAAAAATTCCCTAGGTCCTTAGAAGTAATTTTACAAAAGGGTAATTTGTCTTTAAAATTTTGAATATAAGGTGGGTGGAAAAATAGAATAAGGGGATGGAAATAGCAGCACTCTTTTATCATTATTTGTGTTTGCGCAGTGCCTTCTTTCTTCTCCCTCTCAATAACAGTCTTCTTCTTCTTCCTTCCTCTCTCTCTCTCTCCTCTTCTTCTCTCTTTCTTCTCCCTCTCAATCATTGTCTTCTTTTTCTTCTTCCTCCCTCTCTCTCTCTCTTCTTCCTCCCTCTATCTTCTCCCTCACAACTTGCATGTCTTCTTCTCCATGGGGTCGTCTCCCATGGTTGCCAAGGCCAACATTGGACCTCGAAGCCATTTCCAGGGCTGCCATGGGGCCGTCTGACACCATTGGCCCCATGGTGGATCCGCCACTAGTTGTAGTTGTAGAGTCTTCTGCAGCTATTGTAGGAGAAAACAAGAAAGGTTTGGGTGCAATTCGCAAGGAATGAAGGGGTCCTTCCAACATCTCTACAACTTTGCTCATTGATGGCCGATCAGAAGGAATGGTCTGAATGCACCACAGACTTATTAATACCATCTTTGTTGCTATTTCTTTTTCCTCCTCTGTGATTGCCCCAAATGCATTTTCATCCTTTTCTAGCTCTAGATCTTTATAAACATAATGTGGAAACATTTCACTCGTATGAGACACTCCCGAATCCAAATTGTTTTTTGCTCCAACCATTTCAAGAACCAACATACCGTAGCTGTAAACATCAGATTTGTGAGATACTCCACCAAAGTTCCGGCTAAACAATTCTGGTGCAATGTATCCTGCAGTTCCTCTTGTCCCCATCATCGATACAATACTGTCCTTCGTTTTGCATAATTTGGCAAGGCCAAAATCAGAGACTTTTGGGTGAAAATCTTTGTCGAGAAGAATGTTCTGTGGCTTTATGTCAAAATGCAAAATTCTTGTGTTACATCCACGGTGTAAGTATTCTAGTCCTCGCGCAATACCAACTGCAATTTCAGATAGCGTTTTCCATTCTAATCGAAAATTTGCCATTTCAGATCCGTACTTATGTATGAAATTATCCAGAGATCCATTAGGCATGAACTCATAAATCAAAGCTCTTTTGCCCCGCTCGTAACAGAATCCAGAAAGAGTGACTATGTTGACATGGGAGGTTCTACCAATGCTAGCAACTTCATTAATAAAGTCTTCTCCATTACCCTTGGACTCGCTTAGGACTTTGACTGCCACGAGAAGGCCATCAGGTAGCCTGCCTTTGTACACAGTTCCGTATCCACCTTTACCTATTTTATCTTTGAAAGAGTCTGTCATTTTCTTGACGTTTGCATAGGTATACCGCTTTGGAGTAAGCGATTCATAGTTCCTTATAAATGCCTCAACATCAAACTCATCCCTCTTATCTTTCTTGACGAATAAGACCATTCTTTTTCTTGATATGTGTGGGAGTGATTTTCGGACATTTTTCTTCCACAATAGGCATATAATAATACAAAGAATGATTACTATCACGGAAAATCCACCAACAGCCAAACCTGCAACAAAATACTTGTTTCATTATAATTACTTGATTTGTTGGATTTTTATTTTATGTAGTAATTTTAAACAGTCATTTAAGTTCTAAAACCACTTTGGAGGGCTACTATTTTAACAGTCAATCAAGAACTACAACGAAATATTACCTATTGCAATTTCCTTCTTTATTCCTGAAACAGCCACAAGATAGAGAAATGTTAATCGATGAATGAATAATCAATTGCTAAAAAAAGACTATCTCAATTGCAACAAAGATATTCGGTAGATTACATCAACAAAAACTACCTTTTTTGTCACTACTTATTTGCCTTAAATTTGGTCACTGTGTCTCTAATTTGTTGCCAAATGCTTACAATTTGAGAACATTCCATCTGTTTTTTCTTTTTCTAAAACCTTACTATTAAAATATTCATTAATTAATTTAGTATAGAATCAATAAGAACCCTATAATGCCAATGAAGGTTGGTTGAGTTGGTAAAGATCCTTATCTTTGCTACCAAGGCCTATAGGTTCGAATCCCGCTACTGACAATGCCTATAGTGAGTAATCTGTAAAAACAAAAAAAGGGGCTAAGACTACCTGTAAGTCTTCAAAGAGGCCTTAGTATGCCCTGGCCTTAAGATGGGGTAGCCTTCCCTTTCCCTAAACTTTTTTTCATTAAAAAAAATTAAAGAAAAAGAAAGAACTCTATATAATGATTTTAAGAAAAGGCTGTTATTGACACTCCAAAAATGTCGTTGTGCACTTCATTTCAAAATGACAGTTGTGGTGTGACTTCAAGTTCAATATAAAACAAGTATATCTCCCTTACATTTTTATGAGGGACGAATGTAAGCTGACATATTTGGGAGAGAGATCTGGTGGTACCCAGGGTACATAGTTTCTAGCCAAAATTTAGTCCCTTGAACACAGGGTAGCCACAATACTCTGGCCGGTTTGATCCCCCGAAAGGATAACCAATATTTGAAATATTTGAGTATTAAAATTAGGTGCTGCAGTTGAGGGAGTCAAAGTTGACTTACTGGTTAGTTTTTCATGTTCAATACTTCGAGAATAAGACAGTCAATGAAAATTTTGGTAACCACAAAAACACGTCTCTGAAGAAAATGAAGTTTTTTCTTTTGCTAGAAAACATGGAATTTTGGATGCATAATAGAAAAATGTAGCTGTTATTAAATTACTTGAAAAAAATTCAAAGTCATCTTGCCAATTAATTATTTTTTTTAATTTTTTTAATAAGAGAGTGACAAGGAGCATGCATACATGAAGTTAATGATTTTTAAAAAAGGTTTTTTAGGTTTTAGACATAAAAAAAATTTCACTTTTGGAAAAAGCCAAAGCTTTTTCAAAAAAGACAAAAAAACCACTCAACTTTCAAATCAAAGACATGCAAATGTATTGGATTTCTTAGGAAATCTAAAAATAAATAAGGGCATTTTTGTCCATTTTTGCTTCTTTTAAAATTTTTTTCTCTCCTTTTGCTTTTTCCAAAATGTCCCTTTTAAAAACTTATTAAATGAATGAGTTTGTATAGCTAATTATTTATAACAAAAGTCTACGAAAGTGTTTAAGAATGTCACTAACTTAAAGTCTTTACAGAAAATGCAGGGTTTTTTTTCCAGGAAACATGGAATTATCAATGAGTTTCAATTATGCACCCAAACCTCTGCTTCACAGACCTTTTACTCCTCATCAAGGCCATTAGAAAAAGGCCCACAAGTATAATTTAGCAGAGATCAGTTGATGTTGGTGTTAGAGGACAGATAATTTCCCAAGAGTCCTGCCAGCAACTGTACCTCAAGCCCTCTTCAATAGGAATCCGGATTTTGAAGTCAAGTGAGAGCCACAAAAAGTGTTGACTGGCACCATCAAGATTTCCAATTCGACGCATGTGCCAAAGGATCAAAATGATTAAAACATGAACACTCTTAAGGGTTTAAAAGTTTTACAAAATTTTCTATCCAAAATGTTCAATTTCTGAAATTCGTAGCAACATGATCTATTTTCCTGTATACGTCAAGTTCAGTAGTTTCTGTTTTTTGTTTCTGCTAAGTGACAAACCAATACAAGTTTAAAAAAAGAAAAAGGGAAGCACAGGATTACAACTAGGAAATTCACAGTTCGTGATTAAGGAATGGGGCATAGAAGACTTTGAAATATTCAATGAATGGGACATAGAAGAGTTTGACATTATGATAGATATAATAATACAATTTTTGGCTACTTAACAAGGCCCAAGCCCAATAAAAGAAAAACTACAGAAGGATAAATTTATAAGCCTTATTATAGGTGAGTTTCCTTTATGTTTATAAGACTTTTCTGTTGTTTGATAGAAGTGCCAGTCAATGGAAATTTTGATGCCACTAAAACGCGTCTATTCAGAAAATAAAGTTCCTTTTTTAGGCCAGGAAACGTGGAATTATCAAGGGTCAGGCTCGAAACCTCTGCCTCACAGTAATTTCAGAAAGAGAAACAAAGGAAGACAGTAGTGTTGAGCCCACACTGTACATTGATTATTATCTGTCACCAATTTTAATTGAAAACTTACGCGGTCCACTACAAATATTACGTCAACAATTTAAATTTATGGGGTCCACACTACTAAGGTGCTATAGAATTTGCACTTCTCCTTTTGCAACAATTTTTGAATTTCTGTATGAGTAACTTCAAATCTTTGATTTAATTTGGTTTCAAATCAGGATTAAAGGAGATGAATACTTCCAATAGAGGACATAAATTGAACTCTACATGTTTCCCTCTTTTTGACCAAGTAGGCCAAAGGAAGGATTTTTTTGGTCTTTTATCTCTTGAGATGCATAGTCGTGTCACCACCAAGCCACTCGATGGCTTAGATGGAAAAACTGTGCGAGTGTGTTTGCACTTGTGACTTCTAATCAAACGATTGATCGGCCAAGCAAGGAACTTCCTTTTAACCTAGGTTCTTTCACTTCCTCGGAGTCAAAAATGATTGAGCTTTGTATGACTATTTTTAGAATTTTGGTGATAAGTGCAATGAATGTAAAAGCAAGAAACGAAATGACAGAAATGTAAAGGCGATAAAATAAATTAAAGTGATAAAGACTTCAATTAAACTTGAATTTAAAGACAACTGAATTTAAATTGCAAGAAAGTAAGCTTACACTAAGAAAATGAAGAACTTGGATAATCTAAAATGCTTGAAAGATAAAATCCTAGACTAGGAATTGAAAGGTACAGGATAAAAAGATAGGTTTTGTGTGTTGAGTCAGGCGTCCTTTTCACTTCTTCTAATGAGTTATTTATAGAGCTTTCTTCAGCTCATGGGTTTGGCCATTAAATGGCCTCAATTGACTTTCATTGAAAATCCTTCCAAGATTATTGTCTTCCGGAGCTCTAGGCATTTAATTCCCAATCACTACCAATCCATATGGTTGGTCAATAAAATGGAATTGGGATTGTGAAACTCTTCTCTTGATTTGAGATGCAATAAGTGTTGGTATGCTGGCTATCTTTGAATTCCACCACTTGCAAGGAGGCTTCTACTAGAACTTCTGAACTTAGCTTCGTAGGCTGAGCTTTGGACTTGATCTGACATATAGTGAGATGTTATGCACTTGGAGCTTCTGACTTGGTTGAGACTCCTACCAATGTTGAGTGGTATGTGAACTCCAAATATTTGGATGTTGGAGATTCTGGCTTTGGTTGAGAAACTGCAAAAATTGGCATGGAAGCTCCAAGATCCATCGAGGAAACTCTTGTTTCATTGTCACATTTATTTATTAATATATATATATATATATGTATTAATAAATTTGAGCAAAGCCATTGCAATGAGGAAGAAAATTTGAGCATGGGACTTAAACATCAGCGAGGAACCTTGATAGGTAATGGCCGCATACTTTTGTTTTTCTCCTATATATGGCCATATCTTGTCGGCCGCATGGTTGATGGTTGCATACTTCTAGTTACTACTTTCTTTGTGTAACTAATGTATGTTTAATTTGAACAAAGGCATATGGCCATATAGGCCCATTCAAACTCCAGCGGCATGAGCTCTCTCTCTGATTCATATATATAAATATATATATATATATTTATTTATAATATATCACACCATATATTAATATAATAACACAAGATATCTCAAGAGTTCTCTTGTTTTTTTCTTTTTTCGGCCTTTCGGTCTCTCTCTCTCTCTTTTAAGCACAAGACCAACCACTTCTTTTCCTTATATCTTATGTGGCCCCCACAACTATTTAAGCTACTTCGATAACTTTTCTTTGTCTGCCGTTGTTGCTGAGAAATTCTCTTTTTCAAACACACACATATATAAATATGTTTATTTATATATATGATAAAGTAATATATTCACGAGAAATAAAGAGCCAGCTCACTCAAGACACCCAGCGCAGCTGTGCACTACACTTCATTCGAAGACTAAAGAGCCAGCTGACTCCATGCTAACGTTGAGAAGATATGAATGAATTTAACATATTCTATTTCTATATAATTATTCTAGAGACTTCTTGTATAGGACAAATATACACACATGATACATGTACACAATATATAAAGAGAAAAAGATTGAGACAATGAATATAAGAAAAGAATTCATATTCAAAATTCTAGCTGAGCAATCTTCTTCCTTTTTCTGAAAACTTCAGTCCTTCTTTTTTGCGATTTTAGCACCCCAGACTTGCAAAGATCCTCTTGTTATATTTCAGAACTTCCTTCTGAGGTTTCTCCTAGCGGCCGTTGGCATTAATTCAACTCTTGGTGGATTGGGTCAATTTTGACCACCCCCAAACACTACGTAAATGCCAGGATATAAAAAAGAGCACTACCTTGAGAAGACAATCTGACATATTAATACAATGTCAACCAGTATGAAGATCAGATTGCCTTGGCCA